AGATCGTCGGGCTCAACCACAGGATACAGAAAAGCGCGAGCTCCATGGGCACTCCTCAGCATCAGGAGTGCTCCCGGAGCCATATGCTTAGCCAAATGATCGATCACCCGATTCTTCTCGTCATTGTCCATCCCCACGAGAGCCGCCAAATAAACAACCTCGTACTCTTCCAAGTCCTTGGTCACGTCCAAGATATCGCTGGTGTGAAAAACCATGCGTTTAGATAAATCAGTGTCGGAAGAAAACAAGCGAAGGGCCATGGAATTGGCCTGCGGGTCGATGTCATAGTTATGGAAGGTGGTGGTGGGAAGATGATTGGAGGCCAGCACAATCGAAGTGAAAGGAAGAGGGCCAGAGCCGACGAAGGCTATGTTGGAAGGGAAACGAGCGCAGTGCTGGGTTAGGATGGTGAACTCGAGGAGACCGAGTTTGAGGTAGTTGGAGTAATAAGGGAAGATGTCGAGGTGGTCGAGAGGGTTTTCGAAGGAGCCGAGGATGGTGGAATAGTGGGTCTCCAGGAGGCCTTCGGCGTCGCCACAGAGGCGAATGAGCTTGGACCGAATCTGCTGAAGGCTTTTGGGGAGCTTAGTGACATCGATAGGGTTGGGTGGTATGCATGTGAGGACGAGTTGGGTAAAAGAGTGTCGACATTTTGGCAGGGTTTGAGACTATCGAGGCTCGAGATCTGATCATAGAGCTCGCAGATCTTTCCAATCAACAAATCTTCCTGGCTCACCATGTCGACACTATGTGCGGGGCTCCTTTGGTTTCTTTTTCACAGACTCTGCGGTGTCCCTAAAGAGAAAAAAGCTCTCTGGGAGCACACGGTGTTTGAGAATAGAGAGGGACGCTTAACCCTTGGGCAGGGCGGGATCTGTATTTATGCTCACTACTGGGTCCCATGTGGGCCCCTGGTGCTTTACGACCATTGGCTTACTGCCATTGGACGAAGGCGTGTGCAGTTTCATTTTGTTCCGCTTCGCCTAGATTAGAATCTAAAATGTTATCGCCTTCCCCCGTCCAACTATCAATAGTTCCGGCAAACCAAGAAAACAAATTCACAGACAAAAATATGCTGGTAGTGTCCTTGATAACAACTATTTACAAGAAAAAAGTCATATTTGATTCTGACTTTTCTGTTTTTTCCCCTGGAATTAAGAGGTTTTGGGATGATATTGCTTTATAAATGTGTGCTAGCATGAGTGTGTGTGTTAGGGTTTTGAGAGTAGTCCCAGAAGATTGAAAATGCATCATGACGATCAATAATCCTGCGATGGGGATTGAAGCCAATGATCCCACCATGCTCATGGATGGAATGCGCATGACAGAAACTTAATGTCGTGTCATGCATAAATATCAGAGGATGGAGGGGAATATATCCAAGTCTATTTTGGCTGAAAGAAATCCAATGCTGGTAGAGGTTGAAAAAAGGGAATGAAAGAAAGTGGCTGGGAGAATGAATGTCCACATCGTTAAGGCCTTTCGGGGTCAAAAGCGCGGTAATAGTTCAGGTAATGAGAATCTCTCAAAGTCAATATCAAATATATTACCGGATGCTCCAACATTAATTGTTCCTTCCACCCACCATATGGTTACCTAAGACCTCTGATAATTGGATTTTACTATAAAATCGACAATAATATAATAATCATAAGACTTGCTGTTTTGGCAAGCTGGCAAGCCTGTGATTCTGTTTGAGTTTAATGGCCTTCATTTATGCACGTCAGCAACATAACATGAGGGTCGACGCTACGTTGTACGCTGAAATCGTATTGTATTTCATGATGAGAAAATTCTAATGATATTTCAAATCGAATAATTAGTTCTTTTTTCGTATATATTTCCTACCTGTGATTTAGAGACTAGAGTTGCTCATCATCATCGGCTAGTTGTACGTAGTAAGCAAACGAGAATATATGTGTCAGCGTCTGATTTGTTTAGGCATAAACAAATGGATCGGAACATGTTCTGTTGAGTGCTGTTTAAGCTACTATCAGCATCAATTCAGTTCACACTGGATAAATAGAGATAATATATATAGAAGGCATTATATTGCCAGTTTTATATGAAAACGATCGACGAAAACGCAGCGCCGCTCCTTAATATTGTCCCTTTAATTGACCCGATATGATGAAGAACGCAACTGAGTGATCGAAGGGCGTGGATGGAAGATTCGGTGCGTGTGGCCTTGATGGAGCAGTCCACTATAGCGATAGGAGACAAAGTTCGTTGCTGTGATAGAGAATAGGTTTGAATTCTTGTATTATTCCATCCATCTGCGGCCGCATAGTTATCAACTGGATCCCTATGCTTACCTTCTGCTCTTTCTTTGTTTTTTCTGTTCCTTTCTCCCAAAAACAATTCTGTTATGTTGGGGCTCCTGAAATCACAAATATATTACTACATCCACTGGTTAATATATCTAAAGGTTAATTGACTAATTTGAGTAGATTAAAAAAATTAGTAGAGTTAATTATCTATAATAAATATGTACTGTTTTCTTTAAAATATCCTCATGTACTCCTCGGTCCTTATTATAAGACCCCATTTGACTTTTTATTTGGTCCTAATTATAAACCCCATCCATTTTGTCTCTTATATTTATGCATTTTTTCCAAGATAATCCTTCTAATAATGATAGTTTTAGCCAATATACTTAATTAGCAAGGATATTTTAGGAATGACAAACTTATTTATTATAAATAACCAACTTAATTACTTCCTTAATCTCCTCAAATAAGTCAATTGGGTCTTATAAAGGACCGATAGTATATTAGTTAGAACTACCATTTGATGAAATATTTAACATATACAACTATTATAAAGGTTACCTTAAAAAAAAATAAATATGAAAGACATAATTGATTGTTATCTTATATTTAAAACTAAATTAAATGTCAAATGAGCTATTATTTATATTACGGACGATGGATTCATACAAAGAAATATTTCATTTTAGCCGCATTTTTCAATTTTCACCAAAAAAACGCACATTAGCATAGCAAAAAAAAAAAAATCAGTATGCAAATCTCTATCACTTTAGACGTGTTTAACTAAGTCCTTCTAGTTTATTTTATTGGATCCTCGTAATTTTTTTTAATGATAGGCATACTCATAATTTGTTAGTTTGTTAAAAAACAAAAAAAAAACTCTAATAGTTAATGATATGGTTCTCACTCAACATATTATTAAATTAATTTTGCCATATGTTGATAACAATTAAATTTAGGCCATTTTTAATTTTTTTTTTTTTTGCATTTTATAGCAACTTATATGTCGCTCAATTGAACTTGGTCAATAGACGATGAGTGCGAGGACTCATGATCATAATCGAGAAATTTACAACAACCTGATAGAAAACTATAAGACCCAAGACCTCGTTAAAAATCAAGTACAATCATAAGGAATGAAGAATTATTTTTGTCAAACTATTTTTTTTATCTTACTATAATAGATTGATTGCATTTTTTTTTTTAAATGTAGACTTCTTAACACGCGTTTGAAAGTTTAGGATAAGAGATTTGAGTCTCTGTAATTAAAGTATTATTGTGTTTAAAATGGAATTTTTCAGTATAGTTTATTTTTCCCCCCTTCCCAATTATTATGTCCAAAACTCGGATGTCCTCTCAAACATATTTGCCGTATTATTATCTTTGTCCCTTGTGACCAAATCTATAAGAGGCCACTGCTTCAGAGTTTGTCTTTAGAAAAGGTGGGAAATACAGTGTATGGGCAATTATGAAAGGATGTATGGATCCTCATCGTGTTGACATTCAACAAGTTGCCCCTCTCGCTCCACTTCATGCTCTTTCTTATTATATTATTTTTTAAAAAAAAATCATTTGTTATTCTCACTTTGATTCCTTCCCCTTTTTGCCTTTTCTCATATTTAAAAAACATTTGTTATCCTTACTTTGATTCCTTCAAGTTCGATGGTTCATATGACACCATATCATCCACTTCCATTCTCTCCTTTGACGCAGCTTAGGGTTGTAGATTTTCCTTGTTTTCATCTCACTTACTTTTATTATTCTTCCTCACCCAGCCAAATCCGTGTTTAATAAATCATAAACTGTTTTATCCTCACCAAACCCAGATTAGGCACTAACTCTCTCTGAATAAATTCAGTATTGAAGGGATTGGTTTTTGTTCCTAAACTTCTAAAAATTTCAATGAACGCTCAGCGCTTTGGTATTCATGTATTCATGTATTTTGGTTATGTCATTTTTTGACATAACCAAGAGAAACATTAATTAATCAGTAAAAGAATCAAGAGAACACTTTATAATTCGTGTCAGGATGAAAAAAAAAAGGAGTAGTAGTAAAAATAACCCAATTGGTGAAAGCTGACATAATTAAGATTGGTTTCCAATAGAATGGAAAGATGTAAGGATGCACTCAAGGAGGCATTTGGGGTGACGCAGACACAGAAATATGGTTGGAAAAGAGAGATTAGCAGTGAGCATCACTGAGCATTAATTATCAGCAGATCAATAAAAAGCAAAAGCTACTTTTGATGACGGGGGGAGGGGCAGGGCGGCGAATGGATTTGTTTATTGGTCAATTTGGCCACTTTCACGCACCCCAAAATGCGACTACTCGACGCTGAAAGCAATGAGTGATAGTGTTGCAGAGACTGTAGAGGCCACTTTGGGGAAATGCAAAATGTTGTCAATATGGACTCATCCTGTACTTGCCCTCGCCTTTCGGTTGCACCATCTCCAATTATTCTCTTAATGCTCCACATTGTTACATTATTAAAGCCAGAACAAATATTATATTGCTCCTGTAAAGATAGGCCTAGCCATCATGAAAGCCCGTGAATAATGGCCTCCATCTTAGTTGGCCATCAGTGAAGTCTGACTCTGCTGACCATTCTGATTCTGATAACCATGCTTGTTCCTCTCAGATTGACGCCCTCTTCTTCTTCTTCTTCTGTTCATTATATTAGTCAATTTCTAACTCTGATACTTAGCTACCAATTCAATGGCGGGGGCACTAATACAGGTGAATTTTTGCTGAGTTTGATAGGGTTCTTGGTAGTCTTTTTATTCTTACTGTCATGCTGTTCAATGACGTTCATATACATATTCTGCTTTTCTGCCTCTCCTCCTCGCTACACAAGTGTCAGCCCTTTATGGTTGAACCAAGGTTACTTAACAAATTCGTTCCCAGCATTTTATGATTTGTGGCAATCATTTTTATCTGTTGAAAATATTGTTTGACTGGTTATCCTGGAGCCCTGAGATACATAAGCAAACATAGACCTACATGCAACTTTCTAAAGGAAGCGTTTGCAACATCAGGAAGGAAATCTGTGAATAAGATATTAATTGAAACGCGTACATTTGTCAAAAATCTGGGCGTGAAACGATGTACGGTCGGACAAAAAAATCAATCGGGGGCAAAACAATATGATGTGAAACGATGAACTTGACATGCTGTGGGAATTGGAGCTATAATTTCAAGGACAAGAAATGCACTGCATTAACCACATCATAAACCATTAGTCCAATTCTGCCTCCGGCCCAACTTCCTATTTGACTTCCCACAAGATAACCAAGCCTCCCAAGACACTGCTCCCCAAAGAAGCCTCCGCTATAAGTACCAAACAATGTTCCTATGCTTCTGAGGAACCCTTCTGTCATGGTAGCCCCATAATAGATAGCTTCAAAAAAGTCCCATCCTGAAGACATTATGGGACCTATAACGCGTTTCGCTTCACGGGACGCCATCTTTGCTGCCTTCTTACCATGTTTTTCAGCAAGTTTTGACGACTTTTTCTGTGACATCCCCTTTGAAGCTGCTTGAAAAAGGGCAGTTTCAACGGCTTCATCCCTTGCTTTCAACACACGAGCAGTCTCAACGTTGTAGGAGAAGAGTTTCGCAGCTTCCTTCACACTGCATCCTAAACTTCCAGCGCCCATATCGAAACAATCGAAAATTGTGAACTTCCCACATTGGGACGAACCTTCCTCCCCAACTAGCTCTCTGCACTTTCCAGCTGAAAGGACCAAAAGCAAGTCAATTTATCTCATACTCTCAGTAACCATGTTTTGATGCGCAAGATCTAATCTCGTAAAGATACATATAATCTGTATATTGTACGGTCTACCTTACATCCACTCGTTCTTACAAGTCATAAATCATTCTAGGCATTTCTAAGAATAGCTGCTCTGGTTTTCATCAGAAAGCCAGATTCAACACCTTTCAATCCTCTTACAGGTAAATGCATAGAAGATTCATCAAACACATTTTCATTACATTTGCATGTGTGTGTGTGTGTTTCAAAGCTAAATATTTGCGAGCCAAATATGTAATACCAAGAAGAAATTGAAAGCTTGGAGGAGCGGTGGCCGCTCCATGACGGTGAAATTAAGAGGAAAGAGATATTATAGTAAGAGTTCGGTATTTATGAATTCAGAACAAAGCAATTCATCACGTGCTGTTTGCCATTTGCGATTTCCGATGATTGCTAATGTAATGCAAATTACACAACATGGATTGCAAATAACCGAAAAGGGAAATTCAGTTGCGAGATGACATTAACAGATAGAATACTGTCAAGAAACCAATGAAATTGGTATGTATATAAGTGAAAGCACCTGTCTTGCTAAGCAGAATGATGCCAACTACAAACAGGAGGATCCGAACCCTCTTTTGTCGGAGTTCCATGGCCCTGCTCTTTAAACGATATAGACCTGAGCCTCAATGCTAACAATCCTTCAAAGATCAAAAATGCTTTTCATGATGTTCGTAGTTCCAGCGTTCATTCCTTTTTTTTTCCCTCATTGTTTCTTCCATTCATTTTTTTTTTAATTGAAGAGCTTTCTCTCTCTCTTTTTTTTGGCCTTTCTTTTCTATTTCTTCAGTGCAAGTCGTTCCAATCTTAACGTCACCGAAGTCGAAGAGACAGGAACCTCCTAGTCTCCTACAATGCAGATCCCGTATTGGTCTCAGAATGGAATGTCGTGGTTACCCTTGGGGAATAATTTGCCTCTCACGGTCTCGCAGTTTATTTGGAGGTGAAAGGTTAAGGGTAAAATTTTAACCTTTTTGTATCCTTAAAAAAGACTGACTTCTTGTTGTCGCGATTTCATAAAATATGGTAAAGACAAAATAAATAAAAAACTAGATAAAAAATTGTATTCATACTTTTAAATATGTTATAAAAACAAATAATATAAATTTGTGCATCAAAATTAATTTTTTATGTAGGCTAAACCAATCACAAACTGGTTCAAATATTTTTTCCGATGAAATTAATTAAGATATGAATAAAATAAAACAAAACGGCACCAGACAGCATAAAAACGTCAATGAAAATAAAACGAGGTTGTTGGCGGGGGGTGTAATTAGAATTATTGGATCTCAAACCTTCCTAATTAGAATTTTGTAGGCATCCAAAGATACAAGGGCAGAGTCCATACCGAAGGCAGGGCGGGACTTTGGCTGGACCAACAGGGTTAATTTCGTCAAACAGAATTCCCAAGGGTTTATGGTGGGCTTTGTGGCCTCAACAGGAGCGCGTATTCGTATTGTATGCAGCTCTTCTATTCATTCGAGCGAACATCAATGGCGGTTTTCGGCCAACTCGGGCATCCATTTTAGGGCTTGAGCCAAGCGCCAATTTCAGAAATACTGTCTCACCACATTTCTTCATCTATTGCATCATTATGTTGAAGCTCATTTCCTCCTCATGCGTCCGAAGCCGTGCCCATCACCTTTCCCCGAGTTCGATACCGGCTCTCCGGCCCGCAATCGATTCCACTCCGCCTCTGCGTAATGTATTGAGTTCTCTGAGGCGGCTAAGCTTCAGAATCCTAATTTAGGAGGCAGGGTATTTTTCTGTTCGGATTCTAATGATGGGTCCGATCAGGTAGTCGAGGCCCAGGTCAAGGCAGCCGAGTCCAGCGCCGACGAGGCTGACTCTAGGGCTGCTTCAGCTATCGTTCCCACTAGTCCCAGACCGGAAGATTATCTCACGGTTAGTTTTGGAGTTTTCTTCTGCTTGGCAGTATTCTTTAGCCAATCATATGCTTGGCGGTTGAGTGTTAAAGAAATGGTCAAACAATCCGAATTATGCAATGTAATTGCTATTCAGAAATCAAAGTCTGTAACTTGAAGCTATTGCTGTAACTTAGGATTCAGGGCGTCCTTCATTTGAATATGCATTACTCACTCCTTCGTTATTGAAACATTAGTTGAATTTCGAACTAGAACTTGGTTCCGTTTTCTTTTTAACCATCCTTCCATCTCTGAATTTTCTTTAATAACTACGCATATTGAACCTGATTGGCACTTGGTCATTGAAATATGTGGGGCGGA